CATGCAGCAAACCCAACCAGCTTAGCTGTGCATATGGTCCCTGTAAGTGCAGGTGTCCCAAGTTTTTCTTGTTTGTTACCCAGCAAAAGTACTAAAGACAGAAACTTTCCCTATCTCTGCCTCCTCAAGACATTTCTGCAGTGAGTGCATTATCCAAAGATCATTGTTGCTACTAAGAAATTGCTACAAAACAAACTGATAGTCCTGATACTTTAAGTGATAGCACATAAAACAAAAGCAAGTTCATTAAACATATGCAATTTCCCTCACCAAACCCACTTTGCTTCCCAAAATCTTTATTCCTCTTACTCAGGAAGAAAAAGGATATACTTACTGGCTGATGTTATCTTTTATAAATACCCCCAGCTTGCACAAGAAAATTAAGTGAATCCGCAAGTTGAGCTGCTAGCAGATCAGATGTTAGTTAAAGGTGGGATTCAGATGATACACAAATTTGTACAGTACAATTCTGTGAAAGGTGGATTACTATCACTTATGCTATGCTCTTCTTGGAGAGCATTTAGCCTTCAAAACCTTGATGTTAAACTGAAATGTAGAGATCCTACAAGTAGTAACCACTGAAAGTTGCCAAGGAGTAATAGAGAAGAATCTACATCACCATCACTAGACAAAGCTCATGTGATTTCTCAACTCACCTTTGCTGAGCCATTTTTTATCCTTTGCATGCAGAGAAATGACACCTTCTCAACACTCAGGACAACTGTGGACTAGGAAATCAAATTCACACAGGACTCACATGCACAGTATTAAGGCATCACAGGAAAATGCTCTTGGCTGGTTCTCACCTTGGCCTGCTTGGGACAAAACTAAAAAAAAACTTCTCTCCACCGCACTCCCTCCTTTCTCAGTAAGTAAAGGGTCCCTAAGCATTCTGATACAACTCCTGTAACTCTTGTGAAAAGTCAGCATAGGGGCCATTTCTTCACACTGTAGACATATTCACGCCATGGGGAGAGAACATTTGACTACTTGCATTAGCAGGCTGGAGAAGGCATTCTCATACATCCCAGTAATATAAAACAATCCAACAACCTTTTTTTCCCTAGTATTATGTCTATCCACATGCTTCTGGCAAAAATATCTGCACCACAGTTGGTCTCCTCAGGGGCTTGTGCTCCATTTATGCATTGTCTCAGACAGCAGACAGAAAATGTTACTAGTTATACCCTACGCTGGAGATATTTCTGTTTTCTGTTAATATCTTGAAAGCTGCAAGATTCACTCCCTTCTGGAGGAAAAGAAAATGACAGTTATTACTGCCTATTATTGCAGGTTAAAATGGGAAGAAAGGATGAGACAGAGTTGGAACTCAGTGAGACCATGAAGAAAAACAATCCTTTGGTTTGATATATTTAAAGCAACAGCAAATATATTTCCAGGGTCAACCTACTAATTACATTACAGACTCCCCAAACCTACACAGAAGTCCAATACAGCTGACTTGGTACATATGGAAGGATCCTAAGAATTAATGCAACAGTAAATATATATGTGACCAAATCTGAGTACTTTTTAGTGCTGGGGAATAATTCATTATTTGGTAACAACCGAAAGTACTCTAAGTATTTCAGGTTGCTGGCAAAAGAGGTGCTTTTGATGGTCAACTGTTGAGACTTGTACTGGGGAGGTTTCAGAAGAAACAGAATTAATTTGACTATGTCTTAGTCATGCTGTCTTCACAAAGTTTAGTGGGAAGAAGCAGATGAGTTTCTAGCCAGCTTAAGTCACTAAAGTACAGTATGAGAAGAGTCTGATGAGCAAAGAGCCTATTTAAAGGTACTCATCTCACAGACGCACTAAAGTTATGCCTGGTTTGTAAAAACACAATTAAGAGGTTTTCTAGTTCCTGTTTAGTTCTTTTATTTTCATAAATGCAAGCACTATTCCAAAACAGTAGAAGAGGGAAGGTAGGAGACACTAATCTTTCCGCTTACCAAAACTTGCTGCATTGAAAAATGCGATTAAACTTTAAGCTAAGCTTTGTTCAAATGTCTTCGAAGTAATTTTCTTGTAAAGAGTATCTCTGCCTCTATGCCAATTTTTTATGTAGAGTGCAATGTGGTTTTTGATCCTTTGGGAAAGGCAAGAGAGGCTAAAAATCACAGCCTTGCCTTTTTTAGTATCTTTGCTTTAGTCCTTCATATCAGATTATGACAGTATTACAAAAGAAAACTTCACCTGTTCTGGTTTCCTTTATTTTCTTTAATATGGGGTAATCTATTCCTCTAAAATTTTCAGGTACAGTAACCACAAGCAGAGTCCAAACTGGTACAGAACTTCTTCTAGAGATGCCTTCAAAATGGTGCAGAGAAATGCTATACACAAACTCCACCCCACAGAAAGGCAAGTCACCTCTTGCAGAAGTCAGTGCTGACTTCCTTTACCAGCACCTTTAATTGGTATGGGCTTGCTGAAAGAACTGTTTTTTCTATGTAGTAGTTCTTCAAAGAATTTAGAAACAAAAGCTTGGGTGGACCCCCAGTCCCCTGCTAGTACTAGGAACATTTTTAATTTTTTAAAAAAAATCTTTGTAAACCACATCTCAAAAGAGACAGAAGAAAACTTGAAGGTTTCCTACACCTGACATTCAGAAGTGCTCCCAGCACTGCACTCCATTACTGTAATGGCACCAAGAGAAGAATGAAGATGGAAGGGGAAAGGAAGCAAAGCTGAAGTGGAAATGAGTTTTCCACTGTCACAAACAAGAGCTAAAGTTAACTGCTTACTTCACACTGACAGTGGTGGGGCTGAACAAATGTAAACCCACCCTTACAAGCACAGCAGCAACATCTACCAGTGTATTTGCCAGTTTAGCAACATGCAAGTCAAAACTCTTCTTTCCAGATTATCCCCAACCCTACTGAGATCATAAGGGAATTCCTCCCTTACCTTTTATCATGTGCAAATGCAGAATATAAAAATGGCCTGTGTCTGTAGAATTCACAACTGAGATAACTGATTTCCCTTCCTCAGTTTCTAATTCCAAAGACCCTGCTTCAACATCAAACAGACAATTCTGTCAAAACCCAAATACTAGGAAAGTTAGCAAGATGTAAATCCACCAATCTGGCAACTAAGAGACCACCAAGCAGCAGAACAAGTCTCTTCATATTGGAAGTGTTTTGATGGTATGTGTAATACTTCTGGTGCCACATTCTAAGGACAGAGATAAAGCCTTGCTTTCAGAATTCTCCAAATATGTTGACATCATACTGTTGACCTGACACTCATTTCAACCTGATTAGTATCACACAAATCACAAGTCTTCAACTATGTAACATTCTAGAAGTTATTTTTTATTATTTGTTTTTATTATTTTTTATTATTATTTTTATTATTATTTGATTTTTTATTGTGGCATACTGACAACTGTCCAGAAGGACAAATTTGGTTTCTGAGTACAAAAAGGAATGAGACCAAAGAGGTAGCAGACCCTACTACTCATTGACAGAGCAAAAAAGCCTTGTGCAGAATTGATACAGCCTAGATACTTACAGATTCACAGTATATTGTAACCAGAAGAGTCTTTCTCTGTGACTCCCAAACACAGTATTTTGTCCTCTTTTGTGAAGTACTCTCAGGTCCCAACTTCTTCACACGTTACTTATACTTTCTGGTATAATACCTTTGGATATTCTCCAGCTCTCACAGTCCACATTGCAAAATTTTTTTTTTAGTCCACACCCCTCTTCTAATTAAGGATGAGAAGAAAGAAGGTGTCACAGACTAGGCTGATAATGACACAATGATTAGGTTGTTGGCTGGAACTCAGCTGCTGGGCCAGATCAAGAGGGGAGAAACCATCCTGAAGCTGAACTCATCATTCCTTTCCCTTTCACCTCTTCCCAGCATCAACTTCCACAGAAAAACTTTAAAAACCTAATGCTGAAATCACTGCCCCTCTATCAAAGCTGACTCTGCCCAATGAGCAGCAGATTAACAGAAAGACAGGGACAACAATCATAAGCTTTAGTCTAATAGCAAGCAAGGCATACTATGGTTACTGCCCCATACGATTAGCATTCAAAGAGGTTTCCAGAGAGGCATTTCCAGGGGGGAAAGAGAAAATAAACCAGTAACATATAACAAAAATCACAGTCTTCTTTTTTGTAGACATTCTGATAATTTCTCTGCCTATACAAGGAATGTTCTGCTGCTTGAAGGAAGACAAATGCACTTTATGTTTTCTTTATAGCAGCTTTTGAAGTGGACAATTAACTGCTCTAGCGCCTCTGAGGACTGGTCAGTGCAGCAATTGAAAATGAGAATTCTCCATGTAAACAGTGAGTCAGACCCACTAAACAGTAAGTCAGACTTTGTAACTGAAAATGTGAGTTTGAACTTTTAGATCTCTTCCAGTCATTGAATGAGAACCTGGCTCTTTGCCAAGCAACAAATGTAAAATGAGGTGTCACAGATCCTCACTAAGATCAGAAGCTTCTGAAGACTGAACTTGGAAGGCTGGACAGAATGAAAGATGCTTTTCTTGCCTTCCAAGAACTCATTCTTATTTGTTTCAAGTCATAAATTCTCATTCCTCTTCTCAGTACTAGCAGCTCAATCACCACACTGAGCCTACCTGTATGTACTGTGCTGTACAGGTAGCAAGAAGATCTATGAAGCAATTCTCCATGAACTAAATGTATATTTCTTGACAGAAGCAATACACTCTAGAAATGTGATCAACTAAATCAAAAGAAACAAAGTAACTCCATATTCTGGTCACCAGGTTCTATATTCTATGCAGTCTTAACCAAGATTTTCTCATCATCTCTGCAATACAGTAAAACCTACTTTACTAGGGTGTTGCAAAGATTAGAGTTTGTAAAGAACAGAGTAAGTATACTCTCCTTCTGTGGAGGGATTTTGATATTCAATATTTGCACTGTAGGCTCAGAAAAGGGGCTTTTGATTGTTTCCTTTAGGTACTGAATAAGTAGTCACCTGATTTTAGCAAACATGGCTCTGAAGACAAAACCCAACCTTTAAAGTACTTTTATTGAACAAAAAAATTAGAAGAAAAAAGAAACCCCCAGCCAGCATAGTCCATATATTGGCCTTAAAAGACATTCAAAACACTGATCAAATAATTCTTATTTACAGTTGAGAAAATATCTTCTGGTGATACAAAAGCTATAAAGGTCTGCAAAAACCACTTTTTCCCTGCCATTTGCATTTGAGAAATGCTCTCAACTCAGTCAAGATAGAATGCAAGAGAGGAGAGAGTAGGTTGCTGTGTAAGGAAGTAGGGGCAAAAAACAATTGCCATTTTCCACACAGGAGCTGTTGGCCAGTATAAAGTGCAAATATTCCACAACATTTTGCAACTATAGATCATGGCTTTTCCTTTTTTTGTGATCTTAGTACCATTTTGCACAGTATATTTATACATTTATAATAATGAAAGAACAGCTTTTAAAGGAATTAATCTGGTTGTAACAGACAAGCATGTGTGAAGGTGTCATTACTGTCTCTTCAGCTCTGTAATCAGACTTGAATGTCTCTTTCTAAGCAGTATTTGACTAGTTTGGATTGCTCTGTGTAGACATTACTTCATCCTGGTTACCAGTAGTAACTCCTATCACTTACCTATCACAGCTGTCAGTGTACAGCTTTGAGGGATTCCTCTGCTCTGCGTTAGCAGTTCTCAGCAGTGTATGAAATGGACATAAAACTGATTCATTCCTCCTTTTAGCACCAGGATCATCTACAGTAACCGTACCAGTTAGAAGCCTAAAAAATCAAAAATCTCAGCACATGAAACAGGAAAATGGGTAACAGGGACCTTGGGCTGCTGCTGAGCTGGCAGGATAGAGAACCTGTAGTACAGAGATGACCGTAATTACTGACCTGGGGACAGTGTGGCAAAATGAGCACACCTGGCTCTACTGTACCCAATAGATTCTCTTGGGTACTTCAAACTCTTGAGTCCTGTGCTTAGAATTTTTTCCCACAAGACTCTGTGGCAGCTTTCATGGTGCTTTGTTTGGTTTAAGTTTTTTTGCTCTATCTTGTTTTTTATTTGTTTTGAGCTTTTTTTTTAAAGCATGAAAATAGAGACTTTTTAATTTCTGTAACAATAAATCTACAGGGTTACCTCCACTAAATATTCAGTATTACCTGGTAACCTTGCTGTGAAATTTCTGTCTTCCTTCCCAGGTAATGTAACAAGAATTTCAAGCACCAGAGCAGATTATCAATAAATTTAGTAGTGTTTAGCTAAAAGCAGTACAAAGGACAAGCTAAATTCAGTGTTCTAAAGAAAAGAGGGGGAAAAAAAAATGCCTTAAAGGTATCATTACTTCCCAAGCACTTTAGACAATTTCAATCTTCTGCTCTAGTTTTCGAAGTCAGATGACATTTATACCACCTGGAAACGTTTCTGGGATTTCTGTTCTCATTTGAGAAAATAAAGATGGATGTAGTATCTTCTCATTACCATCTTTTCTTGTGCCCCACCCTACAAAGACATCTCTTCTGAAACTTTGCTTGTATAATCACCATATATCACTGGTCACATCATGTCCAGCTGCAAACAGAAGAAACAGATTTGAAAGAAGCAGCATTGAAGTTATTTCTTACATGTGTTTAGTGCTGAGAAAACCAAGCAAATTTGGAAATCCTTATCATGTAACATAAATGGATTGCACATAATTCAGTACTAATCTTCTACGAAGTACAAAACCAAACCTAAAAAATCTCATCTTCACATAATCATATGTGCAATTTATAGATTTTTAAAGTACAGTCCAAATGTAGAAATCTATCAGTTACCAAAGCTTCTTTAAAACCATCTATACCATCAGCTTAAGCCTTGGAGACAGATTTGTAATGAGTCAGCCTGTAAAAGATAGCTAAAATATTTATTAAAAAACTTGGTATCCTTGAATTTCAGCAAGCCTATATAGAGAAGTTTAATTCAAAAGACTAAAACGTATTTTTAAAAATGTTTTTCAGTTTTCAGCCCACATAACTAGCTGTTCTAGACCTATAAACTTTTTAAAATGCTATTATAGTACATTATACCAATCCACTATTAAATGAGTGTCTCACTGTCTCTTTTGAAACACATTAGAGGACACATTCCACCCTGTAAACACCTATGTTACTACATCAAATAGTATTTGCCATCATGAAATTTCACACCTGGCTATGTTTTACAATAGCAAGTAAGTAATTCACATGGCTCTTCTGATTCAATTCCTTAGGTGTTTTCTAAGCCATGCACTCTAATAACTACTGTTTTAAGAAGCATTTGGCTCTCTCATTGTAACTTTCACTTAGAGCTTAATTTAAAAGCCACACCATATCTTTATGGTACTCACCAGATCATCAACATCACCACCTTCATCTGTAGGAGGCAGGCTTTCATTTTTCTGTTCTTTTGGAGCCAAGAACTAAAAATAAAAATTTATTTATGTGATACTGACAAAACTGAGAGTCTTTAATATTAAATTAACAGAATGTCTCCTCTGTGTATCAAAACAAACCCACCTGTAATCAAAAGTCAGGAAGGAAGTTTGTTCTGGTTTCCACCCTCCAAAACTAAACTACAAAAAACTCTATAAGACTTGCTTTTAAAGGATTTTATGGTGAAATGTGTCAAAAGCCAGACAAAAGGATATTGTTCTTGAGACAACACATGGTTAGACTGTAGAACACCCTGTGATAAGGATGCTGCAAATATTATTCCACAGACTCAGGGCGAGATAAGCAAGATGCATAGAAGAGAAATCATTTGAAGCTTACTAGTTCCACAGAAACAACCTCAGGCACAAAAAGTTTTTGAGACATCAGTGGCTGCAGGCTGGGACTATACCTTTTTGTCCACTGTCAAACATGGATTAGATGGAAATTTTATCCATTTCAGTTTGACCGACTTTATGTTCTTAACAAATATTGTGTGTACCTACAAAATGCTCAGGGATAACAAAATACCCCAAATGATATAAGTACATTCATGAGACTGTTAGAATGCCAGTATTAAAAATAGAAAATTCATTTTGTAAAATTACATTGCCATAGCTGCTGATACAACTCACCATATGCCCTTCACTTAAAGTACGACATTCATAAACAGAACAGAAAGGTAAGTTGCTCAGATACTATAAAAACTGAAATCAAACATACAGACAATATCTGGAGTACAACCACCTCCAAATTATTTCACAGATTTTTCTCTTAGCCTAAAAAAAGAGAAAAAACTAAAATGGTAGGGAAAAAATGTCAATACTTAACTCTTACTTTAAAAAAGCATCCAGTTGTCTGTAAGTCTTAGTTACTACCTTTTTACCAATATCCTTAATACAAAATATCTACATTTTTTTCTTATTAAAATGCATCAGAACAAGTATACAAAGCCAGAAACAACCCTGCCCCCCAAGAAAACACAGATGTGAAGCTAAGGAGGAAAAAAGCCACATTCCCAGACTTGGAGTCCTGTCATCCTCAAGTCAGAAACAACTTCACTATAACTCCAGATGATGAAAGAGAACAGCTAAGCAGAAAACAGCCACATTAAACAGGCTATAAATAACTGCTTAGATAACTCTTTTGTGCTCCTAAAAGGGAGCTGCTGTTCAGCTGGGGACTTCAACTGTATCAGCCAGAGAGGTTGTGTAAGAGGCCATGGGATCCTATTAACAGCACCAATCTCTGAGACCATACATATGTAGCATGAAAAGCTGAAACATTATTTTAAATAAATGAAATATTCTGATCCTTCTCTAGAACCCTAGTGACAGCTTTAGACATAGGGTAAAACTCTTACTTTCCTGTTGCATCCTCTAGGATGAAAAGTAAATACGTCATGTTTGGGTAACACCAAAGACAGAGGATATAGGGATATAGGCAACCTCTGCCCCATTGTCTCAGTGACCACAGGTCAGACCTTTCCTACATCCTAAGCAGCAACATCCAAGAGGAACACAGAAATCTCACTCCACAGACAATATTCATGTTCTAACATGCTGAGTTTAATATATCATAGAGATTCTGTAGCTGAAAAAAAAAAAACCAAGGCAGGGAATGTGACAAGGCCAGAAGGAATTAGAATTTCAGGATGCCGTATGTCTGTTTATCTTTTTTGTTGGAAGAGTTCTTAATCTAGCAGTAATATAAAGCACATACTATGAAACTAAAAGCTAATGACATTTGTCAGCTCTGAAAGGCTTTTTGTGCCAGATCAAATTTCCTTTTTTCACATTTAATTAAGAGTCAAATGGTATTTCTGGAAGTAGCACATTTTTCAAAATTTTTACAATCAGCTTTCTCACGCTAAATTATGCAAAGGAAGCTAAAAGCTAGAGAAATGTACTATGAATATTTGCAGTAAATTGAATCCTGAAGTTTCCATCAAATGCTGAACATCCAAAGTTGGGGTTTTTTCTGAGAACCTGTTTTACATTTATGCAAAAGCAAATTACATATAATAGCTGTGCTGAAATCCATTATCTTCCCTAAAGCCACCAGAAAAAGTACTTGACATTCCTAGTCTTTTAACCTACCATCCTCATACTCTAAAAAGAATATCACCACTATTACAGGGGGAAAAAAAAAAAAAAAATTTCTCAGTGATAGGAAAATATTCATACATAACCTACCTCAAGCAAAAATAAAAATGGAAGTCTGACCTGTCTAATAAGCAGCCTGGTAAGTCTTGCTTTATCCTGCAGATAGCAACTCTATAAAACCTGTAATCTTACAGACAAAACAGTCTTGAAAATACTAGCAGCTAGTAAACACCATGTTAGGCTTTTGTGTCACAAAGGTCTACACTGACAGACAACCCCAAAAACAATGACCTACAACAGGCTTGCACATAACCTCTGCAGAGGTGAAGAAAACTTGCCTCTTAATCTATTGAGAGATATTAGAAAAAAATCTAATACAATCTTTAAGTAAAGGGTATCACCTTCAGTACAGAAAACAAATCAACCACTTTTGTAATCCGCTCTAGACCTAGGAAAATGCTGGCTTTGTATCACACAGGAAACCTGGGACAGGGTTTAATTAGACCAAAGAGCACTAGATTTTATACCAGTCCCACAATACCAATATAAAATATTCTATCCCTGTAGATCTTACTCCAAGAATACACAGTCTTGCAGTTTCTTAATGAAAAAGTCAAATGAGCCCTTAACAGACAATGGGAATTAGGGTTCTGGGTTTGGATTTGGACAGTGTGTGGGGAAGTGGCTATCTAGTGAATATCTGGAACTGCCAAGTTCTTAGTTAGCAAAGAGATGCAATCCAATTACTCTGGAAGTTAAGGTAACTACCATATTAGAGAACTCTGCTGCAAAACTGATTTCATGCAGTATCTTGTATTCCCCCAATTTAATGGGAAGATATAGCTATAGTATGACCTTCAATCAATCAAAAAATTACCTCCAGTCACAAAATAGTTTCCTGCAATATAGGGTGATTGTAGGATGATGGTAAATAGAAATGTAAATTTGCAGTCAGTCTACAAATGCTTTGCTCCAGCTTAGCCTAGCAGCTGTGACTCCAGTCCTTGATACTCTATCAATTGTGCTGCAGAGCTATGTAGGCACAGTATTTCTTAGCCACCACAAGCTCACAGTGAAGACAATGGTATGCTGCAAGGTCTTTGTGGTTAGTAGAGATTTCCTTAAGGAAGAGTGGCTATTTCACAGAGCATTGGCACATTTTTTGACCATCAGTGATAGTTTCAGACTAGAAAATAAAGTTCTCAAGAACAATATTGTCTTAGGAAGCTTCCAAGTAAATTCATAGCACTTAAAGTAGATAAAAAAGACTGATAACTCTTTAAAACCACCACTGGGGGATAAGTTGCTCTATACATTTATGTGTAATGATAAATAGCCAACAGGTCCTTCATGTCTAGAAAAATAATCATACTCTGTCATTTGCACCCTGCACATGTGCTCAGCTTTCTGGACTCCTAGTTGTTAGGTTTTCATTTTCATGACATTTCTGTGCCTTCCTCACCTTAAGGTAAATTGTTACCGATAAAAAAAAGAAGTTTCTAAAATACAACCATTTTCTACTCATTAACTAAATCATAGAGAACCTATTTCTACCCAGTTCTGGCTATTGCTAATGGAAGGCCTGGAAGCTGCAAAAATCAATGTGGTCTCTTTTATAAAGGCTACTTCTCTGCAAAATGGTGATTTTAGCCACAGTTTTACCTTCGGGGGGTTTATGATACAAGGACCTTTCTCCTGAACTAGCAGCGTGAGACAAAAACATCCATCTTATCCTCTCCACACAAATATAACTTATGACAGCAGCTCTGAATTCTGCTTCCTTCCAAAGAGAAGGCACCATTCTGCCTGTTGTAATTCAGTCCTTTTAAACTGGAACATCCTTCATTCATCACTGTAGTTAATGAAATGCTACATATCTGTAGGAATTATACCTGTAAATAGTCCTAAACTCTCATTTCCAAAAGGATCTAGTATGGTCACCAATAATACCCCCAGCATCATCTGTGACATCCACCAATCCACAAGAGCTGCATAAAGTGAAAATATCGGTATCACTGCATGTATGGTGAAAACTAGTCTCAACAACTTGAGTTGATAGAGTAAACAAAACCTTTAGAAAAAGTATTGGATTTTTGAACTCATGCTACCACTGAGAACACATTTCTTTCTGTGAAGTTCAAATAGTGATCTTAGATATGTAGATAGTACTTTGCTGTTCCACTACACTTGTTGCTGAAGTTCCTATTTTTTGTAGAGGATATTTTCAGATAATTTCAATACATGCTACTTTTTAAAGACCAATTAAAGTAAAACATTGTAGGACATGCTAAGGTATTTTTGTTCTGAAATAAAGAAGTTTCAACTGTGTGGCAAATAACCATTCTTATTTCATTCAGATGAAGATTTATCCACATAAGAAAGCATTCAGCTCCACAGCAAGGGCTCTATAAAAACACATGCTCATTAAAAAAAACTATACCTTCGCAGCCTCTTCACCAGTCACTGAACTTTGCTCCACTTCATCTTTGGTGATCAAAGAAATTCTGTCTGCAAAAAGAAAAAGAAACCATAAAAATATCATTAGAAGGCTTCCCAAAAATTCACCTAATGTTAGAAGTGAAAAAAGTATTCCACATTCCTACTTCTGGATGTGTCATCATCACCAGCAAAAAACAGTATCATTCAAAGGAAAAAGTGACTTGCATAAATGAGTCAACTATGATATAAAATATGATATAAAAATAAATTAATGAGAATATTCATAAGCTTGTGGAAGTATCCATTTAGGAAACTGCTAATATTGTGACAATCAAACTAATGAGACACTGAAATCATAGATCACAGATGAAATGCTGAAAATCTATTAGAAATTACACTTTTAGTCATTCACAGCATGCTCTCAGGTCCTCAGAAAAAATTAACTCTTATCATTCACACTTGTGTTGTGATTACCTTGTCTTACTACCAAAGTGCTGGTCCTGCCTCACTTTGCTCCTTGGTTGTGCCAGCAGCACCACACTGTGCAGTGAAATCCTGCCTACCCCCCCCCCCCCCCCAAAAA